ATATAGGGGCAGTCAAAAAGTGTGTGCATGTGTATATACGTATACGGATTGGTCAAAAGGAATGGAAAAGCAGGTGGAAGAAGCCCTAAACCTTAAACCCTAAGCCCTAAACCCTAAACACTAAACGCCGCACCTTACTAGCCGTAAGCCCTGACTTCCACGCACAAAATACGCCCTAAGCCTTAAAAACGCAAGCCCTGAACCTGAGCGACATATGTCCACATCTGCCCATGTTCCCCTACCTTCCTCTTTGTATCCCTATATGGTAGACCCCAAATTACTAGAACCCTTATTACAGGGACCCCCAATTGGGTAACCTCAAAGGAAACCCCATATATCTGAGCTTGTGGTTTAGTATAGTCCCTACTATAGTCCCTATTAAGGAACCCGTGTTCGGCAGCTGATAATTACCCTAAACTCTGAAGCCTAAACCTTATACATCCTTATATAGCCCCTATATCCCCCATGTATAGAAGGAAACCACCGTAAACGCTGAACCCTAAACCTGAAACCCTGAACCCTAAACCCTGAACCCTGAACCCTAAACCCTAAACCCTAAACCCTAAACCCTTACAAAAAAAAAAGAACGTAAACCCCAAACCCTTAAACCCCTAAACCCTAAACCCTGAAGCCTGAACCCCCCATGTACCTGAGGCTCCGGGGCTGCGCCACTGGCGCATCCTTCAGTCGTGCCGCCTCGTTGGCCGCCAACGATGCGCTCGAGAAGTTCGCTGAAGATGGTGGCTTACTCTTGGGTTTAGGGCTTAGGGTTTTGGATTTAGGGTTTAGGGTTTTTGGGTTTAGGGTTTTTGGGTTTAGGGTTTAGGGTTAGGGCTTAGAGTTCGGGGTTTAGGGTTTACAGGGTTCAGGGAGTTAGGGTAGAGGGTTATATAGGGTTATGTATGGCGACATGGGTACATGGGTTTAGGGCTGGGGGCTTTGTGCAGAGTAGTTTAGAGCAAGACGATCATCTCTGACATATACAAACTCGACTGTGGGCACAGGTTAGGCTTACCCTAGACCCTAAACCCCAAACCCCAAGTGGGTTTTGCAGGAAATTTCCATGATATGGACGTGAAGCATACTATATAAGAGGGTTCCCTTATAACAGTAGCTTATGTTGTGTCCCTTCAAACCCTATAGGGTTTAGGGTTTAGGGTTTAGGGTTGTCTTTGGCCATTTATAACCCAAGGTCACTTGCCAATTTCATGTCAGCTTCCTTTTCCAGCTGTTTGTCCATGATTGTTACTTAGTTTGAGTTTCTGTACAACAGCCCTGTATTGAGTTCGGGTTTCATGGTTTAGGGAAGTTCTTAATGTAGACCCCTTATGATAGGGATCCTAATATTAAGGCTCTTAAAAGGAGGGGGACCCTAAAACCTAAACCGAGCATATTCATCATGGGTCTACATTACCCTAAACCCTATACCCTAAATAGTAGTTTCCATTTTATTTCCCATTATCCCAATATAACCCCCCATATAACTTGGATACTGCCCCCCCTCAGAAACAGTTGGATAAGAATTATAGTATGGTTCTATATAGCCCTTAATAGGATCCCTAATATAGACTGTACTGGGTGGGGGGCAGTACCCAACATATAACACAATTATTACCATACATTAACAAGTTCGGAAAACCGTGCGCTGACGTGTGGCCAGGGTTGGTAAACTCGGGCTTTAGAGTTTAGGGTTTAGGGTCCGAGCTGCTAGCAAGGAATGGAAAAGAAAATAGGAAAATGTTGAAGCTACTACATGATTTAGGGTTCAGGGTGTAGGGTTGGGGCTTAGGGTTTAGGATTTAGGGTTTAGCGTTTAGGATTTAGAGTTTAGGGCTCTGAGGAAGGAATAGAAAAGAAATGGCAACTACGATATTGTAGAGAGAGAAAATCCTTCACAACTTCTTCCATCCGCCCTATTCTATCCCCAAACCTTGAACCCTGTCCTTCTGTGACAGTGTAGCTTCCATGTTCTTTTCCATTCGTTATGATATGTATCTGAATATCCTTTTATATCCCTATATACAGAAATCCCATGAGGTAGAACCTTTGGTTTAGAGTCTAGGTCTTCAGCTGCGGTACTTGAAATTCTCGTATCACCTACTATACATCCCTATCGAATCCACGTTTTCTTTTTCATGTGATTCTCCGCTATTGGAGCAATAGCCCTCAACCCTAACCCCTAAGCCCTATGTGGGTCCGTTGCATTAGTGGGTTTGGTGGCGCTATGGACCGCCCTTTACCACTGGCCGTGATTTGCGAGATCTTTTTTGAAGTCAGGGATTTGGGAACATTGGGGATATAGGATTTGGGTTTTGGGGATATAGGGATAGATGATGGAGAATGGAAAAGAAAATGTCAGCCTTTCGATTTTGGTAACCCCAACCCACTATCATGGAGAAACAAATGGACAATAGCACGGAAAATGCGATCCTAAACCCTAACCCCTACACACTGAATCCTAAACCCTAAACACTAAAATACTATGGAAACCGGGAGTCTATAGGGATTGATATGAGTTGCTGCGCCCACTCAGTAACAGTTGAACGACATTGATACTATATATATATGCATATAGATAGACCATAATATCACACCCTAAACCCTAAACCGGGTGGGGGCAGAGGATTTTGGTCAGCCCTTGCCACAGGCCAGGACCGATTGATACTCCACAAAGATTCTTTTGGGAATACCTTGTTGACCCACCTGAAGTACCCTACACCCACAGACCGAAGCCTCAACTGCCCTAAACCCCAACCCCAAAACCCCCAAAACCCAAGCCCTTCAACCCTACAACTTACACAGGCCCTAAACCCAAAACCCAAAACCCCTACACAGGTGCTTCTTCACTGTCAGATGCCAACAGCACCGACCACGTCTTTGCTGCCTTCGACAGCTTGGTGGCTTTGAAGGACAAGTTGCAGCCACTTCGCCTCCAAGGAGTTTAGGGTTTAGGGGTTTTCTGTAGGAGCCTGAATGCGGGTTTCCCATAATTAGGGGTACCCTTTTGGGGCTCCCATAATAAGGATTATAGTATATTGGGGTCTATATTTGGGTCCCCCTATTTTGGGAAACTACCAAATGGTGACTTCCCTAAATTCCTTCTAGGGCTTTGGGCCTAGGGTTTGTGATGATACGGATCCAGGGTACCAAAATGCATGAAATATGGCCATTTTGGGGAGCAGTCACTTAGGCCAAATGGGTACCAGGACTGTACTATGGTCCTAGATTCCTTCTCTGATGAGACCACGGGGGACCTCCAAGAGACGGGAAAATCATGTTGGTGATTGTTCAGGCTTCTACCTTAGGGTTTAGAGTTCACTGGTGCTAAAGCGCTGGGGCAGCTACTTGCTGAGGAGCACAAAAAAAGAAGGTGGCATAAAGAAATCATGAAGGATGAGAAGCTTCGCCAAACCTTTTTCCCATCGCTGAAACTCTTCACTGGAATCTTGAACAATCCACGTACATGAGAAGCATACTTATGGATGGTCCAATCATGCTTGTGTGTGGCTTTGGGTGAAGAGGCTTCAGGGTTAGTCCACCCTAAACCTTAAACCGCGGGGAATACAAAAAAGAATGGAAACTAGGGGTTGAGGGTTCAGGGCGTAGGTTCTAGGGGGGCTTAAGTGGTATGGTGTTGCCGGGCTTGGGCGTCAAGGAAGGTTCCAGGCGATGGGGCCCCCTTTTTTTCACGAAACTACGTATGGTGATGGCGATGTTCTTGTCCATTTTCTGGTCCATTCCCCTTTTGCAAAGCCCTAAACCCTAAACCCTAAAACCCTAAAACCCTAAACCCCTAAACCCTAAAGCCCTAAAGCCCTAAGTCTTAGATCCTGCATGGCAGGTTCTTGGGTCATTTTTTGTGAGGAGCTTTATCCAAGGGTTTAGGGGTTTAGGGTTTAGGGGTTCAGGGTTTTCGGGTTTAGGGTATAGGGGTTTAGGGATTAGGGTTTAGGGTTTAGGGGTTTAGGGTACTTGTACCCATTGTGGCAACTGTAACTTTAAGCGGGAATGATCCTGAACCCGAAAACCCTACACCCCTAAACCTTGGAGATGTTTTTCCCGGTCCATCATCCCCTACTAACAGCCAGGTGAGGCGTGTGGTTTAGGCTTTAGGGTTAAGGGTTTTGGGTTGGTTTAGTAAGATTTGGATTTAGGGTTGAGAAGGTACTGGTGACATTCCTGCTGCACAGTTTAGGAATCTCACCTTCCCCAATGATAAATCTGCCCCACCCATTCCCTCCATTAAAGATTCCCTCCAGTATATAATGGTCATGTTCCTATGCTTTGAAACTTGTTCTAAGCGAGTCGGGGAGGTCTTTAATTCGGAGAAAGCGATCGCAATGATTTCGATTCGTTGCCATGATCATTGTTAAACTGCGGCTGCCATTCGGGTTCAGGGTTTAGGGCCTCAGGTTTAGGATGTATGTCGTAGAATGGCTTAGGGCTCATATTATCATTGCTACTCGTGTCGTTTGATTTCGATTGTGGGGGTGTGCATTTGAGACGCCGTGGGCCGCTGCTCCAGACAGGTAGGACAGACTTATGGGTGTTTAAGGGGGAGTGCAAGAGAGAATAGAGGCATTATGACATTACATAGAGACTATAGATCCTCTCTGTCACTCCCCATTAAGCGCCAGTAGATATAGGCCAGAGCTGCACGACGAGCAGCTGCTTTGCCAATTTGATGAGATTTTTGATCCGGTTTCACCTCCATGTCGCAAAGTGATGTTTGCCTGGAGATCCCTGTTGGCAATCCCACTCAAGCTGAGCCTCAAGAAAGCCGGTTGGAGATCCAGGAGACCATTGAAGTATGCACTGGCTTTCTCGTTGCAATGCGGGCATCCAATCCTGAAGTCCTTCGTGGTATACGCGTTCACCGGACTCTGCACCGCATGCCTTGCCACTTGCTGGGCAAGGATCTGGTGTCCTTATACGACTGCAGCGAAGCGACGGATCAGTTCGACGAGTTCTGGTCCCATAGTTGGCAGGCCCCACTTTGGATGAAATATGTAAACGTTCTTTTCCTGAACAATGTTGTCCCTGCATGTGTGGTCAGCATACTCAGTGCATGTGTGGCGATTGGACTTGTCTTAGGCGGTTTTCTGCCCAACAGTGATAGCAGATGGTGTATGTGGTTTGGTGCTACAGGCTACTTATTCACTTTCATTGTGTGGCATTGCCGAAAGTTGGTCTTCCTGGACATCTCCTGCATTAAGCAGGCGGATTCAATTCAAAAGACTGACGCCATCATCAGCATGGGCGCCTTCCTGAAAAACTCGAAGTCCATGTTGGTTTTTTGGGATTCCACATACGTGACAAGACTGTGGTGTGTATTTGAGCTAAGTGGCTTCTTGCACAGCCGCAAGCCCAACAGCACAACTGAACTGGCAGTTTGCCCGCTGCCACTGGGGGTGGCCTTCGTACTAGGTCATGTTTCCCTCACTTTATTCCTGTTCGTGTTGATGACCCTTGAAGACGCGATGGACGACGCTTGGGTTCATATTCTGGTTGTTCTCGTTTTGGGCATTTGCTGCTTTACTGCTTTGGCGGCTGCATGTCGAGAGTATTTCCGAAATGTCCAGGAGATGCAACGTCAGTTGACCTCGTTTACATGTGCGCAGGCAAAGAGTCAGTGTTGCCAGAAAGGCCACGAGGGTGCACGTGCCGGCTCGCTTTGCGACCGAGAGATTATTCTTCACTGCATCATTGCCTCATGGTAGGGTTCAAACATCCTTTTTCTAGTTCTCATGTCCCTTAGAACTTGCATAATCCCCCTCAAGCCATAAGATTTAGTGCTCAACCCTAAAGCCTACACCCTAAATCCTAAACCCTAAACTTTTAAGGGTCCCCAAACAGACTACCCAGGCTTGGTTTGGCAGTGTGGAAGAGTTCGAGCTCCGTGTGCGGAATGAAGTGACTTGCTGGTGGTTAGTAGGGAAGTCAGCATATTAAATAGGGATTGCAGTAGGGGGTTTCGGGTTTAGGGATTAGGGTTCAGGGTTTAGGTTTAGGGTTAGGGTTAGGGTAGAATATATTCTCTAAATCCCACTCCCTTATTCCGACTTATTTCCTACTAACCTTCAGCAAGGTGAAAACCCTGCTTAGTCAGCAGCTTGCCGACAATGTCTTCACCTACAGACGCTCTGGGCAAAGCATATGAGCATAGTCTAAACTCCTTAAAGGGGGGTTATATAGGGGATTATGTAGGGGAGTAGTCTAGGGCTTATTAAGGGGATATTAAGAGTTTATACTATGTCTCGTATGGGGGATTGAAAAGAAAATTGAAACTACCATGAGTTTAGGGTTTAGTATTTGGGGGATTTGAAAAGAACAGCATGTAGGTTTTGGGTTTAAGCTACTAAGTAGGCGTCTCAGCCTAAACAGTAGTCTGAAAAGTCGCAGATTGGCTTAGTTTCTGATTCGGAAAGCATTCCTAAACCCAAACCGCCAGGACTCTTCCTTCAACTGGGGTCGCCATTCTTCTGGTATCGACTAGGCCTTGTGCCGAGCCACCGAGAGGACTATCGCAAGATGATCCTGGGTCCCGAAACCCCAAACACGAAACCCTAAAACCTAAACCCCAAACCCTAAACCCCAAACCCGAAACCCTAAAACCCAAACCCTAAACCCCAAACCCGAAACCCTAAACCTGAAACCCTAAACCCTACACCCTAAATCGCCTTTGCTGACTAAGGTTTTGGAGTTGTTGCTATATCTTTGGACCCAGGATCTACGGGCTTTGTATAGTTTAACTCAGTTGTTGTGGTGTCTGCGCTGATTTGAGCCCAATATAGAAGAGACATGGTGGTTCTTAATTGCCTTCTTGTCTCAAAGGATAGCGGAGCTTGCCTACGTCTTTGTATATTGCTTCGTAGTTTACCCGATGATGTTCAAGCTCTGTGTCCTTGCGTGCGCGAAGTTGCGCACCCGATGTTGCAGCCTCTATGTCGACGTCCTGCTCTCAAGTGCGGTCGTGGGCCTTGGAGCTGTGTTCTATGTCATTTGCTGGTTAGTAACTTAGCTGGCCAGCGAATATCCTTTAACTTCTTTTGAGGTAATATGAAGCCCAATGCAAACGCAAGGGTTAACCTTGGGAAAGCAATAGATACTGGACAACCAAGGTAAACATTTACGTGTTTCAGTCGCCTGCTCGCGAGTGGGATGCAAGTATCGTCTCCCTGTGCATGTGGGCTCCCATTGCAGTTGCGCTGTGGCGATGCTTCCCGGTGCCTTTGTGAACCCTAAACCCCTAAACCCCTAAACCCTAAACTCTAGAAGGTGATCACCCCTCAAACCCAGGGTTATAGGGGTTAAAGTCCAAGGCCGAAGTACTGTGGATGCAGAAAATCTTGTCTGCCTTTTATACCTTGAGAAATACATTATTTTGGTGTCTTAAGTTGTGCAAGATTTCCTCCGTCCACCGTAGGGCCTTAGCAAATGCTCTGTGCACCCACCGTTTCACTTGGATTTTGTCGCAAGTCTCTTCGACCTAGCCCACTTCCAATTCAGGCAAAAAAAAGTGAACATGTGGTAGTTTCCAAAATCAGGATGCCTTGTTATAGACCCGAAAAAAAACAAAGAAAAAATCCTCTTTGTGGCGACCCTCATGAAGAATCCCTTGAAAATCCACAGGTGGCTTTTTGATTTCTGGCGCTAGGAGCAAGTGTCGGTTCCTTTTGGGCAGGGACTGACCGCGCAGGAATCGTATAGCCTAGGTACCCCAGTAGTACCTTTTTCCGTTTTTTTGTTGGGGTCTCCTTGCTAAAATTGAAGCGTAGGAAAATGGGTACCCTTATTAATAAGGGGTTACCGGCGAACCTAACCTAATACCTTATAATCCCAATATAACCCATTATAGTAGTTTCCATTATCTTTTCCATTATCCCTATAAACCCTATATACCCTAAACCCTGAACCTTTAGCAAACTTCTCAATAAACGGGGATGTCAGGGACACGAAGGATCTGGGTTATCAGGAGATCTCGGGGGATCCCGTGGTCAAACGGGCAGTGCAGAAAGCGTTGAGTGAACTGCTAGGAAGAGATGGGAGTCTCTAAACCCTAAACCCCAAACCCCAAAACCCTATATCCTCCTGAAATCTAGGGTTTAGTGTTTAGGGCCTCAGGGTTTAGGGTACAGGGTTTCGGGAATAGGAACCCCCCGAACCCTAAACCCTGAAGGCCCCCTATAATCCCCGCATTATCCCTGAAGATACCTTGGGGTTCCTTGGCGCATTTCTGGAGTAGCCTGATTCTGCGAAACTCCCAGATTTGATTGGATTATGAAGCAGGTAGTGTTTAGGGCTCAGGGTTGAGGGATTAGGGTTTAGGGCTTGGAGCTTAGGGTTTAGAGTTTGGGGTTTTGGGAGTTAGGCCCTTGGGGTTTTAATGGGGAGTTTCTCAATATGAACCATCGTCTAAACTCCTTAAAGGGGGGTTATATAGGGGATTATATAGGGGACTACTTTAGGGGTTATTAAAGGGGATACTAGGAGTTTAGACTACAGCTCATATGTGTGCCTATTGTGGGTCCTTCTGGCAGGCATGATAGGATATGTCGAGGTATATTTGGTAGTTTCTAAGACCAAAGAACACGTGCGCCAGCTTTTGTTCTAGGCGCTACAGTGTTTAGCTTTACTAGGGCCTGCCGCAAGAAGAACCTCAACATACTGCTCAGATTTGTTAAGGCCCCTCATCACTTGACGCCCCTCCCCCCCAGTTAAGCCAAACACCCCCCCCCCCCGAAGGTAGTTTAGCCGGAATTTCGTGGGGGGGCTTCAATAATAAGAGAAGGGGGAAATCCTGAACCCTTAACCCTGAACCTTGGGGGCTTGATAAGACTCAGTGGTTTTGAGTAAGCCCTTCGCCCTTTTTGGGAACCCAAGTTCAAGATTGCAAAGGAAGCCCTAAACCCTAAACCCTGTTTGCAAAAAGGGGGACCCTTTTAGTTCTAGCTTGTTGGGAATCCTGGAATTTGATCAAGCGCTTCCAGAGCAGCTGGAAACCCAAGTGAGCTAAAGTCTAAACTCCTTAAAGGGCTTATATAGGGGATGATAAAGAGGAATATTATAGGGGTTATTAAGGGTGATACTCGGAGTTTAGACTATAGCTCAAGTGACCTTTGCCTGGTGCAACTTTCAGTGTCCCTGTGCAGGTTTCAGGGCGAAGGGTTAAGGTTTAAACCCCCTAAACCCTTAAACCGTTTAGGGCTTTTAAGGTTTGAGGGTTTAGTGTCCACTGCTGCGGCTCGTTTGCGTAAAGCGAATCCAAAGGCAAAGCTGAAATTTGAACCTGAAAGATTTACTGGTTGTTAGTAGGGGAGAAGGAAGATGTAATCCTTGTATAACCCCTATATAATCCTATATGCTATATACCTTATTCCCTACTAACCCCCAGTAAGAAGAGCAACTTCGGAAATCCCGAAAGCGCTAGGGTGGCTGCTAGCGTCTTTGGGGTAGAGGCCGAGCCGTGCCTACCTATGTAGTTCAGGGTATAGGGCCGAACTCTAAGCCCCCAAAACCCCTAAACCCTAAACTTTAGGGTTTAAGGGTTTAGGGGTTTAGGCGTTTAGAATTTAGGGTCTAGGGTGGAAGAACCAGAGGGTCTTGGTACCCCACATCCCGAAAGTCAGTTTAGGGATTAGGCTTTAGGGTAGGACCTTTCAATCCCCAATCCTAAACCCTAAACCCTAAACCCCAAACCCTAAACCCTATAGGGCCTTTCAATCCCCAATCCTCACACTCCCGTCCCTCACGGGCCTCCTAGTAGAGGTGCGAGTTCCGAAACGTGTATCTAGGACCCATGGCCCCTGGCCCTAAGCCATAAGCCCTTAAACCTAAACCCTAAGGCCTAAAACCCCATAAACTTAAATCCTAGACTTCGAAAACCCTAAACTAGGTGTAGGACTGGGTTTTGCCTGTTTGCCACTCACTAGGTTCTATAGGGCAATAGGGGCTCGGCTAGGGATTGGTTTAGGGTTTAGGGTTATATCGGGGTTATATTAGGATAATGGAAATTAAAATGGAAACTGCTATAATATAATAGAGTATATATTGGGGTTATATAGGGTTTGGGGTTCAGGGTTTGGGGTTTGGGGCAAGGGTCTAGATCTAAGGGTCGAGAAAGGTTTAGGGTTTAGGGCTGCCTAACTTCAAAGAAACAAGGCCAAAAAGATGCCTACATGGACTGCTGTCCGTTAAAAGAGAGACCATGTCAGCTGCTATGCTTGTTTGGAGGAGGGTATTGCTCCCGAGAGTGTAGCTGCGTGCTCTTCCTCCGTACATTGCAGTGCTGTATCGAAGTAGGCCGGTATAGCTTCGAACAGATGAAGGTAACAAGCAAAAGCATAATAGCCAAAAACGGAATTTGGTAAATCCAAAACCCTGTAGCAAGTAAGAGCCATACGATAGTCGCAGCGTCCGCATGACGGGGTTGGTGTTGCCAACATCCTCTTGTTGATGGATAGGGCAATTGTTGCTTAGATGTTAGGAGGACCCCCACCCTGTAATAGTGACTATAAGGGATAGTAGTAAGTATATCCTCTTATGTTCCTATTATACCACTATTGTTGATGGATGAAATCTTGCACGACCTAGGGGCCCTCAACTACTGTAATTCCTCGGACTTTAGGGACTTAAGGTGGTGCAAGATTTCCTCCATCAACCGTATTACAGGGTGTGGGGTCCTCCTAACTTAGATGTTACATCCCGCTGATCTGCTGTCACCGCTAAAGGCACTTTTGCGGGCCCAAGCCTAATGCTGCAACATGTGGGTTGAAAAAAAAAGGGACAGTTTTCGAAGAATCCTTTAGGTGGACCCCCCACCCAGTAATAGTGACTATAGGGGATAGTAGGGATTATATTCGGGTTCTCTTATATTCTTATTACATCACTATTACAGGGTGGGGGGCCCTCCTAAGGAATCCTTATCATACGCATCAGTGATGGTCTATGTGGATTTCAGATTGGGGCCCCCGGTTTACGAAAACCCCGCCTTTCAGACACAAACCTTGAACCTTGTTAACCAAGGAGCGCGTCAGATCAGCGAGAGAAGGTGGACTATGTGGCAATGCCGTCCAGCCAAGTTAATACAGGGGCCTTTGTGTCGACTTCTTTGTATCATCATGGTATAGTATATCTTAAATTATCTCAAAGTGATATAGGTACTTCTTCAGGTGTCCCTACATCCTACCCGCCATAAACCCCTTCATTACAACAAGTTTCCATTTAAGTTTCAGCTCTTTTTCATTTGAGCTTTCACTGTTACCCTAAACATTAAGCCCTAAATTGCAGTTTCCATTACGACCTCCAGTTTTCTTCCGTTTGATTTTCCATCATCATGGCAGGCTACGGACGCTCAAGCTGCTAAGTTCTCTTGAGGCATGGTCCAAGCACAGTTATAGGGCCTGCGCCAGGAAATATGATCCATGTATTGTCCCTATGCAATGTATCCTGTATTCCCTACTAACCAGTAAGTCTAGTCATGAGGAGTTCAAAACCTTTGGAAAGTCCTCCTCTAAAGATGAAGATAATGCTGTTGATGATGAAGATTCCGTCTGATGCGCCCCTGAGCCCCAAACCCTATATATTACGATAGACCCAGTTAACTTTCAAGCCCGAAGCGCCAATGCCTGCAGTGTGGAACCACACCATGCTACACATGCAAACACGAAGCTCTTTTTTGTCCGGCCCAAACAAGGACATCACAAATCCGAATAGCATTGCAACTTATAGCCCCCCTTGGGTAGATAGAATATGGGGTATATGGGGATCTTGCTATCATATACCCAAAGCCATATTCTATCTACGTAAGGGGGACTATGACTCTGAGCTGTAAAGCCCTAGCCTACAATCCCACACACCCTGCCGTAGAAAACTGCAAAAAATATTTGGTATGACTAGGGCATAACACAACCCCCCCCCCTACGTATATGATGTGGTAGTTTCCATTTTCTATTCCATTCTCTAACTCTGAATTGCATACCTCAAATAGGGGTTGCCATGTTCTTTTCCGTTCCTTCGTCCCCTGCTACATTCTACCCGAAGGTTAGTCAAAACCTACATCCTGAACGCGCTTCCACTTCACTTTCATTTTCGTTTTTGTTTGAGTATCATGGGCGGGGGGGTGATATCCCGATTGTAGTCCTCATAGACAAGTATTTACACGTCTAAACACTACACCCTAAACCTTACACCCTAAACCCTACACCCCTAAATCCTAAACCCTTAACCTTTAAGCCCA